AGATATATTTAAAAAAAAAAAAAAAAAAAAGCTGCAACTTAAACGTGCTCACCTTCAAAAGCAGGGCCACCAAGACGGCTTTACAAGAGGTGGGTGATACCGGGTTCGGGGTCTGGGAGGAGACGGACTGGCTGCTGAAGGCAAATGGCCAGGAGGAGACCCTCTGATTGTCTTCCACTCTGAGAAGCCCGGTGCCAAGCAGCCGTTCATGACTTCCCCCAACAGCCACATCCATCTGCACCTCTGGGGTCTAACCTGTCCCCTGCTGGGTTCCGCTCCTCACCTGTCCCCAGGCCTTCCTCCCTCCTCCTCCTCTTTAGAGCCCATCTGACTTTTCTTCTTGCAACTACATCTGCTGGCTGAACCTCGTGCGGCTGGCCTCTGTGAGCCTCCCTCCTGGATGTTCCTGCTCACAAGGACAGTCCTTCGCATGGCTTTGGAACCAGCCCACTGTCGAGCAGCGCCTAGCACGGGCCTTTCTGAACCTGTCTCTCCTGAACCACCACCACAGTTTGGCCACAGCCAGGGCCACCTACACTGTTATTCTTTGTATGCAAATTTTATAAAATCAACCCACTTTTTAAGAGCGTTAATGTTTAAAAAGGAAATAATAGTGACATCATGCGTCTTAAATAGAATGTGACTCAATGATCAACCCAGCTCAAACAAATGGGTGTTATCAAATCCTAATCAGACAGTGTCCCCAGCTAAAGACCCCAGGTTGGAGGCCTGCTCTCTCTTCCTTAAACAAAGGAGGTCACCCAGGCTAGAAGTGTGTGATAGTGGCACAAACCAAGACTCTCCATGGCACAACCAGAAGCACTGAAAGAAAATAAGGAAGGGAAACACTTTCTGACAACACTGTCTATGTTATTTAATGCCATTGCATGTACCGCCTAAAATGCCTTACATATCTGTGGTGGACATACCCCCTCTCTCCGCCTCCCCAAGATTTACTGAGCATCTACTATGTACCAGGGACTTTCTAAAAACTAGAGGACCGAACACATTTAAAAATAGAAAAGGCTCGCCCTGGCCAGTGTGGCTCAGTTGGTTGGAGAGTCGTCCTGTGTACCCAAAGGTTGTGGGTTCAACTCCTGGTCAGGGTACATACCAAGGTTGAGGGTTAGATCACCGTTTCGGGCAAGTACAGGAGGCAATCAATTGATGTTTCTCTCTCACTCACATCAATGTTTCTCGTTTTTTCTCTCCCTCTCCCTTCCTCTCTCTCTAAAATCAATGAAAGCATATCAGGTGAGAATCTTTTTTTTAAAATTAAAAAATAAAAATAAAAAAGGCTCTGCACCCACATGAGACTTAAAACCTACATTTAAATACACAGTGTCTAGGATAGCTTTCTTTCCAGTCTAGCACCTAAAGCTAAGGAAAACCCCAGAGTCAAAACTGTAAAAACCAGGTCCCATCTCACACCCCCAGAGACTCAATATTCACTCAGTGGTTTCTCTGATTAAGCTCTCAGTAGAAAATGACATGTGGCTATTAGCTGTGAAGTGTCTGGCATACTTTGCAAGCAGCATTAACCTCCCCGAAAACCTCAGGGCCTCCTCAGATAAACAAGTCCCCACCCAAATGCCCTTCCTCACCTGTCCTGAGGGTAGCCCCCAATGCCAAAAGACGACTGACATTTAAAACTCGATTGAAACCACACCAAACCCTGTCTATTTTAAATGTCAGCGAGGAAGGCTGCTGGGCCAGCAGGCTTCTCCAAGACGGATTAAAAGACCACTTCTCCGTAGCTGGATTTAAAAAACAATCATTAGAGGCGGCGAAAGAAGGGAGTAAGGACAACACCGACCTTTGAGTCAAGGTCAACTGAAATGATTCACATTTGTGACTAATTATCTCTTTCCTAATCTTTACGTTGGTCTTTCCCAGGGCAGGAGCTTCCTTTCAAGCAGCGGAGACGTCTGACCCAGCTGAATTACAGGCTTCGGTAGGGTCTCGCTTTGTCCACATTTACAGCAGCCATTTTCCACTGTGTGTGTGTGAAACAACTGACATTTGTCGTTCTCTTAAAATACACATGAAAGTTTAAGCTTCCTGACTCGTAAAAAGAAAAAATAAACAAAAGGATGCCTATGCCGTTTTTAAAACCTAAAATCTCTTAAAACTGTCTTAGAAGTAGGTTCTCCTCAGACACAGAATAGCCTCACCAACCTGAAACCAAGATGTTATGTATTTTTCTGTCACCTTCTCATTAAAAGAGGTGGGTGACACTTCAGAATAACAAATATGAATATATAAAAGTTTAATGAATACTTATACTTATCATTGTCTTACTCAGTGCTAGTCACTGTTCTAAGCACTTTACAAATAACAATTTATTTAGTCCTTACAACAACTCTATAAGGTTAGGTCCTATGATCCCTGTTTTTACAGAACAGGAAACTAAAACACAGAGACGTAAAGCAACTTGCTCAAGGTCACACAGCGAGTAAGTGGCTAATGGTGTATGGTGGGTGTTGAACCCAGGAAGCCCAACTCTGAGGGCCACGCTCTTAACAACCTTCCTACTCTGCCCCCCACACACCAACTGTTAAGTGCTTTACATGTGTTATTTCATATAAACCATACAATGACCTATAAGGTAGATCATATTTTTATTCCCATTTTACAGATGAGGAAACTGAGGTACAGAGCAGTGAAGCAGCTTTCCCAAGACCACTCAGCCAATAAATAGGCAGGCACTCTGACTTCATTCAGGTGTTACACACCTCCCCACAGCCTCCCCCCATGGCCTGTGGGTTAAATCAGGAAGGGAGCTGTGTCAGGGGATTAGAAACCATCCTCTAATGAAACCTTGAACTCATTTGCCCCGTAACAATAGTGTTCAGGCAGGAGAAACGTTAGATCATCTGATACAAGTCTGTCTTTAACAAAATAGACAACAAGAAATAACTTGGCTAAAGGGTACCTATAATTAACCCAATTAGATGCCATACATAGGGGTGGGGGGGAATGTCATGAGAGAAGCAGTTTTCAAAGTGTGGTTTGGGGTACCCTGGGGGATCCCTCAGACCTTTCCACATGCTCAAAACTACTTCCTTAACAACACCAGGCTGTTATCTACCTTGCACCCTCCGTGAGTATCCTGTGGAGTTCTCCAGAGCCACGACATGCAGTATCACAGCAGGTTGAACGGGGAGAAGATATGAGGGTCTGGCTACCTTCTCAGAAGCCAGATGGGGAAGATTTGCAAACACATCAAACAAGGCCACTCTCCTAACTATTTTTTTATTCTGAGAGTTATGTTAATCCTCATCTGAGGATATTTTTTCCATTGATTTTTTAGAGACAGTGGAAGGGAGGAAAAGAGGGAGAAGGGGGAGAGAGAGGGAGAGAGAGAGAGAGAAAGACAGAGAGAGAGAGAGAAACATCGATGTGAGAGAGAAACATCAATTGGTTGCCTCCCCCCACACACACCCCAACTGGGGCTGGGGATCAAACCTGCAACCCAGGTATGTGCCCTTGACTGGGGCTCAAACCCGTGACCCTTCAATGCACAGACGAATGCTCTAACCACTGAGCAACACCAACCAGGGCCAATATTTAATAACTTTGTTATTTAAGTGAATTAAAGCATATTGTGAAGTTTCTGAGGTTTAGTCCCTAATATGGTGAAGACAGATAGACAGAATCCAAGTAAGTTAAAAGTTTTGAGCATAAAGGGGTCCTGAGACTAAAAAGCCCAGGAGCCCATGCCTGAGACTATGACCTTCTGAAGACCGGGGACCATACCTGCCCCGTGCTCCCAGGCAGCCGCCGCACTACAGTGCCCAGTGCCCAGCAGGAACTCGGGATGCTCATTTCGGATGTTGAATGAATGCCCAGGTATACAGCATCGGCCACCCCTTTAGGGACACATCCCACAGGCACAGTAATGACGGACACTCAGACCCACACGCTTACCTGGAAATAGTCTGTAATAAAGGATCCGAGTTCACTCTTCAGCAGCCGCCTGGGAAGAGAAAAACACGGTCAAGCAGCCCTCAATGGTACAGCTCCCGCTGTCCAGTTCACGGACAGGTGACAATGATGGCATGCTGGCCAATGGCAGGGGCCCAGGCCGAGCCCCAGAAGGGTGAACTTTCCTCGGCCCTGATAATACCACTCCACCAATGTTATTAGGGAACTGGGGTGATGGAAACCCTATAGGGGGCCCCTTTCTTAGCTCACAAAAACAACTTCTCAAAAAGGCAGTTCCAGGAGGTCCCAGCTAACGGAGCTGGTGGAGGCAGGCCAAGGCTCCTGGCTTCAGAAGGAGCAAACAAACAAACAAAACGCCAAGAAGAGAAAGACCACAATTTTGTAAGTCCCCACATTTGTAGGCTTTATGGTCTAAAATGCATCTTTCATACATTCTTCAACCAAAGGTTATAAAGCACGTGTGTGTGGAGAGAGGGGCAATTATTACCCCTCACGTATAGATAAAGAAATGGAGGCTCAGAGAGGTCCCCTAAGTAAGTCAGTGGCGGAGTTAAGATTCAAACCCAGACCTTCTACAAATTCAACATCTTTTCCCATAACCCCGCCCCAGCTCTCCTCCAAATCCAGCGGAGGCTTTCGCCTCGGTGCCATGGTCTGGGTGGTCTTTCCTCCCATTCCCGAGGGACTGAGGCGGTCCTTCACAGGGGACCCTGGTGGGGAGTTTATGCATCCCCACCATGGATAGAGTTTATGTATCCAGGCAGCAAACAGTTACTGAGCTGCAGTGACAGGCTGGAGATTGTCAAATCATGGGACCCACCCTACTGCTTTCTTTAGTTGGATCCAGGTAAGGAAGCTAAAAACAAGAATAACTGGCTCCCACTCCAGTGAGTTCCCTGGGAGGACCCTCTTCATGACTTCATATGATTTCTTTACTCATCCCACCAGTCCTGGTTATTAAGGAGCAAAATGCTTCTGACAACACCTGCTGGGTATTAATTCCTCCCTGAAAACGCATTCCCACGTGTAGGATACACAGGAAGTTACAGCGAGATATCATTCTGTGCAGAACACAAACCCAGCAGGATCGAGACAGAAGAAGAGACGCCCGCAATCTAAACTTCTCTATCAGAAAGAGCCCGGGCAGCTGCACACAGGCGCTGAGCAAGAAAAACACCTTCCTTTCCCACCACAGAAAACGTGTCTGTGGCGGATACTGCACTTTGAGATCCAATTTCACGGCAAGCTCCTGGAAGGCCACCCCATCAACACAACCAAGGGGTTTCCCCAGGTACGGGCTGGTCCGACAGAGGCTACTGGGCCTCGAGAAGCTTGGTCATCAGGGCTTTTAGAGGCTAGAGGTGTCTCTCTGATGAAAATCAGAAACCCAGTGGGCAGCCCCAGAAGACAGCTGTAGAACAGGAAGAGGCAGGACGGCTGCTTCCGAGGGGAAACACCTCCCAACGAGGTCTTCATGGCCACTGGGAAGTCTCCAAACCAGAGGAGAAGCCCAGCCTCAACGGCGGGGAAACTAGTCCTATTAACACACTACTTCGAACAGAGTTTGCCGGCTTATCTTAGGGACTCACGATGCTGAGGGACTAACGATTCTGAGACCAGATGATACGGAACGGGTGTCCCAAGGAACCTGCGCTGGGAAAACACTGTACTCAAGAAGACGCTTCAGGGAAAATGGCAAGAGGAAGAGGTCAGCAGAAGGGTGGGCTTCAAGGTCAAGAACTATGGAGACCCTCCTGGAACAGGTAGAAGAGGCATCTACCCAAGTGTAACAATAGTTAACTGGCTGGACGTGACGACACAGATGATTGGGGCCCAGGGACATTTCACAGTGGTACTGGGGAGTCTCACGATGCTCTCCAGCAACCCGAGGGGTCTCCTCCCCTGCCTCTCACGGAGGGGGAAAAGGCTCCAGCCTGCAGTGAGGGGGAGGCACCGCCCCTTTGGTCCAGCCAGGGCTGCAGCCAGCCACGGCCAAGGCCAGAATTCTGCAGAGCATCACGAGAAGGCAAAGCTTGAGGTAGAAACCGGCTGACAACGGAGCAGGGGCTAAGGCGTGAACTCGACACAACTGCCCAGACACGGGCTCAGCAAAGAGGACTGAAGCTAGAAGCAGCCCCACCGGAGGCGGGAGTGGTGGCGGGTGAGCAAAGCAGAGGGACACAGAGGCGCTTTCACCCCACGGGTAAGGGCTCTCCTTGTCCTTTACTGAGAAGGGGCCAGGCACAGGAGCGGGAGTCTGCCTTATATACTTTAGACGTAGTGGACGAAAACCAGGTTTGGCAAGAGACCCACACATTTTGTCCTTTATTAAGTCCCACGTTCAAGACCTTCCCCGCTAGGTATCGTCAGACAGACTTATCTGAACAGAGTCGACCCTATCTGACCAATCGAGTCAGCGCTCTCCTCTCCTGGCTGGGCGAGTCAGCAAGCTCCTCCGTCCCTTACAAAACCCCGTCTTATTTCTGCCCGAGCACGTTGAATTAGACAAGGCCTCTGCCTACGTGTGTGAAGTTTTCACTGCAGCAAATCACAGGAATCGACACAAATGTGCACCACTGAAGTGTTCCCAGAAAAATACGGTTCATTCGGACAACGGAATTCCACGCAACTGGAAGAAGTGCTAAAACTAGGTTTGGCAAGAGAACCACGCATCTGTCCCTTATCGAGTCCCAAGTTCAAGACCTTGACGTGCTCTAAGGAATGCTATGAAAAGATCTACGTCACATGAAGTGAAAAGAAAGACGCAAGATGCACAGCAGTCTGTACGACATGCTACCTTGTCAAAAAGGGGAATAGGCACATTTTTATTTACACAACACCAACAAATTCCTGTCATGATCTGCATTCCAGGAGGCCCTCAGCACTGAAATTAGCACCTTGATTTTTAAACACACACACACAGCATTTTTGAAATTATGTATAAATGCACTGGGTTTTTCTCCTGTTCTCCATCTCCCCAAGTGAGAGATTAGAGAAGTTTGGAGCTTTTGCTGGAAATTAGGGATGGCAACAACACACCTCAGCGAACTCGACTCTCGGGAGCAGGAGGCACTGGCTTGCAGATGCTACACCACGCTGCTCAGGGACCTTGTATGTATAAAGTGAGGGTATCCCCAGCTGCTTTTCCACAAATATTCCTTATATGGGCATAAAGCAGCTCGGGAGACTAAACAATAAACTATTGTTATATTATCTTTGGGGGGATGGGAACTGAGTTTCTGGGGCACCGGAAAGGGAGATTCTTCACCGTATAGCTCCTTATATGTTTAAAATTTTGTACCCTAGGAACACAATCCTATTCAAAAACCATTAAACAATTTTTTTCAATTAATAATAACAGCCACCAAGCTTACGTGCATGGCTTGAAGCCGAGAAGAAGTTGTGGGAGGGAGTTCCCATCAAGGGCACAATATCAGGAAGCAGGCTGTCCTAGGAGTGTCAGAGAATCCCACAGGCCTGAGAACCTGCCAGCCCAAACCCCCTCAGGCTGGTAACGGGAGAACTTAACTCAGAGAGAGAAGGGGTGAGGAGAGGGAAAGGGCTGGGGCTGAGTCATATGCAAAATCCACCTTCTATTTCTATACCCTGTGTTTATTCTGCTTGTACTTGGTTTACTAGGAAAGGGCACTTCTGAAAAACTCTACCCCGGTCTTAGACGAACTGAGAGAAAGAGGGATTTTCCACCCCCCTGACTCGATGCACCACCCTTCTGGGGGAAACTGGGCAGCGGCTTCCCTCCAACAAAGGAAAGAGTGACTGAGAATTGGGACCCTGGGGATTCATTCACTGAATCATAACCCTTTCCTGAAAGCCTGCGCTGTGTCAGACATGGTGCTAGATGCTGGAAGGAAAGNGAGGAGAGGGAAAGGGCTGGGGCTGAGTCATATGCAAAATCCACCTTCTATTTCTATACCCTGTGTTTATTCTGCTTGTACTTGGTTTACTAGGAAAGGGCACTTCTGAAAAACTCTACCCCGGTCTTAGACGAACTGAGAGAAAGAGGGATTTTCCACCCCCCTGACTCGATGCACCACCCTTCTGGGGGGAACTGGGCAGCGGCTTCCCTCCAACAAAGGAAAGAGTGACTGATAATTGGGACCCTGGGGATTCATTCACTGAATCATAACCCTTTCCTGAAAGCCTGCGTGCGCTGTGTCAGACATGGTGCTAGATGCTGGAAGGAAAGGGTGACACAGAGCTCCGACAGTGATTTCTTCCCATCAGGGCCACTCTCTCAGGAGCACCATCTTTTCCAAAAACTGGGAGTCAGAGTGCCCAGGCATTAGAGATGCTCATACTTACAATCGCAGGGGGACAACTCGCCCTGTCACCGTCCTCACTGAGTCAGCTAGCTCAACTTGGAGAGCATAAGAAGGAAGAGAAGCGGGGGGAAAACAACAGAATTGAAGAGTCTGTGGTTTGTGGTTCCCTAGATGCAAAGAGATGAAAATCCCGATTCTAGGATATTCTAGGACATATGTTCCTCCCAGGCACAGCGGCCTGGCATCCTGCAGCCTCCTTCTACTCTTTCCACCCTTTCCTGGGAAACAGAAAAGTAATGACTTATTGGAGCAAAAATAGATGATAGACAGACAGATAAATAAATAAGAAATAAAAACCAGATTGCTCCTAGGATGGGGGCTGGCTTTTTCCCCCAGTTAAAGTTGACTTTCTAAGTCACAGGCACTATTGTCAACAAGGTATAGGTGTTTCCTCATTTAAGCCTAAAACAAAACCGTAAGGTAGCAGTAACATCTCCACTTTCTATACCCAAGGAAACGGCCCCTCAGAGGTTGTGAGGAGGGCTGGCGACCAGGCCACCACAGAGAGGAGCCTCACTGCGGGCAAGGACCTGGACAGCTGGGCTCGCTTCGCGGCCGCTGTGACCAATAACCTACCTGTGCAGGTTCGCTTCACAGGTTGAGTCCCTTGTGCCTGTGTCCTCAACAGGAACTTTGGGATAATAGACACCTACTCCATAGGATTGTTCCCAGGGCTAAAGGAANTTCG